GATAAAACACAAAAATTAAAGGTTTTTTTTCTTAGGAAAGACAAGGCTTCTTCTTCAACACTAGGCATAACATTCTTTATTTGCCTCGAAAATAATTAGCATGTCTGAATTGACAGTTTGCATCCTCTATCACAAAAGGCCCCAGAAAAGGAACTAAACATTACCACCCCTGTTTTACAGCTGCAAATACTCAGCTGACAGTGTGTGCTGCCATTGTTCTTTCCAGGCTCCATTCACATCCCAGGGTCCACTTCTACATTCACGTTCCTCACAGACATTCACCAGCTCATGTGCTCACTCTTCTACCCCATGCTGGAAGATCCCCTTGGCTAGTGGCTCCCTTATTTCCCTCTCATACTCCTTTCTACTCTTTCTTGATCTGCTTCTTACTTTTTTCCAGAGACTCTCCTTTCCCCTTTCTCCTTTCTCCCAAGTCATCTTCTACATTACTCTCCCCAGAGCAAGCAAGATCACAACAGAGAAAGGTTAACTTCTCTGAAAAGGCTGATAATTTTCATGTTGCTGCTTTATAGTTGAATCAGCAGGGAAGAGGAAAAAGCAGAGGTCGACGGAAAGAGTGTACAAGTCTTTGCACATGATACAAGCTATCTGCTGAATCAGACCTCTACTGAACTGATAAAAAGTTTACTTGTTGCATAAATATGTCCATTTAATTTATTTACATGCATAAAAACACTTTTCATACTTAAACTTCCCAGAACGTCATACTGGGTTTTATACCCTCCTCTAAAAGGATGGATTATTAAGTATCATAAAATATTACAAGAAAAAACACCTGCTAAAGTCTTAGAAAAGCCGAGAAGAGGGAAAATCACACATCATCTGTTTACATATACACTACTTACTTACATTACAAGGCATTATTCCAATACCCAATTTCTATTGCTCAAATTCAAAAATAACAATCCAAACCTAAAATTTCTGATAAAAGGTGGCATAAAGCAGTGCAAAGATGAACTACTCATAACATTAGAAGCTCACAGATAATATTTCTGCCTCACCCTGATAAACAACAGTGGCTCTATCCTTGATCAATATCTATTTTGCATCTAGAAATTCTCTTTCATTTCAATAACCACTGAATAAAACTGAAGAGTATCTACACAAAAAAAAATCTGTGTTAGACCTTGAATGTTATCATCCCTGAACCACGCTGGAAGACCCACGCTGGAAGGTCTACCTAATTAGACCTTTCCTCACTCAAATCTCAATTGAGATTTTGAATTGAGATCAGTTTTCAGAGGAAGAACAGGTCCCTATCGGAATAATTTAGGCCAGAGACGACCTCAAGAGATGATTCTATCCAAGCCTCCATTCAAATAAGGACTTTCATCTGCTGCCATGAATAATAATGAAGATATTGCACAGGCAATACAATGAAGATTATATTCCCATGACCACCCTGAGTACATCCCAAGTAAATCGCCTCATTAGACATTACCCAATTAACAGGTTATAGAATTTCTTATTTCATTGTATGCAAGTTATCACTTGCCCAACCTGTAATAAAATGTTAAGGCAACAGACGTTTTCAGAGACATAGCATTGTTAAAAAATATCACAATTTGTTCTATTCATCATTTTTAATCAAGACACTGCTATTTCAGGCACTATATGATACAACTTAGTTGCCTAAAACGTTATTTACTCAAATATTGCCTAAGTTCGCTTGTTTCCAAAAATCAAATTAAATTTAAAAACAAAAAGCAGAAGCCTATCTTTTAGACAAACAGCACAGGTCACCTCTAACAATCATGCGCAAACTATAAAGAGAGTGCTCAAATCCTTTATTCCAAATAATATTTTATTTTAAGCCTTTATTCCAAATAATATTTTCCCACATCAGAAAGTGTATTATCTGAGGTTCCACTGTCAATATAATTCCAAAAAACAAATCTTGTGCCTAATTACAAAGAATTTGACTCCTGAAAGTCAAATAATTAAAAATATTCGGTGTTAGTGCATAAACTGTGGTCTTATTTTCAGTCCTAAGATTTTAATACTTTAATCTTAATTTCCCTTGTGACGAAACAGGCAGATTTACTGAGCCGGGAACCATGGGTTCAAGGCCAGGTACTACCTGGTCCTCGGAAACAGGTTAATAAAGACTGAGATAGTCAGAGGATTTGTTCCCTGCATAGCGGGGTGGAGCTAATAAGGAATGAGGTAACTCTAGGATACCCAAAAGTCACTGCACTAGAGAAATGAGTGTCTAACTCAGATAGCCAGTACACAAGGAGCAGCAGAGTAAGGCTTTGCGTTTCACCCTATCAGCACGCTTCAAGCCAGCTGGGATGAATCACCTCCAGGAGGGTCACAGTGCTGCTTCAGTCCCTGGATTCTCTGCCGGGACTGCCAGGAATGACATTATATGGTGACGTCTGTTCCAGGAGGACAGTTGTCCACTAGGAACTGGATAAAGACCACCGATTTCACACAGGTCAGTGAGCAGCCATCAAAATGTGACTAAAAGTCCTTACCAACTTTTGCCTGCTTTGAACTGGTGACACAGAAGTGATGGAAAAGACTCCATCTTCCATTAGCAGTCCCTAAGCTATCCATTAGACAGTCCTTGACTGACCCGGTACCCAGTCACCCCAGCCCATCCCCACCATAGGTGAGCGAGCGAGCACTTTTTGTTTAGAGAAATGTTGCCATTCTTGGGCATTTAAATCTAAACTCTCAAAGTGGATCTAACCAATGCAACTCACACTGACTTTAGCTGGCAGCGCTTAGCTAAAACTTTTTATAACCCTGAAAAGTCTCATTACTTAGAAAAATAACACTGTCTCGAAAGATCCTGGTTCATACAAGACTGATGTGATTTAATAGTTTTTCACAACAGCCAGTGTTCCAAAGCAAAAACATATACTTGTTTTACAAAGAAAAAAAAGCATGAAATTACTTTTACCTTTCCACTATTTTTAATTATTTTGCCCATTTAAAAACCAATATAATATTTCTTCTTCACCACCATTTAAGTTTACTTGTCCTTTTTAGAGACAAAAACCCTGGAAACTGAACTTCTATAGGTGTTAATGCAGTTCAGAACATTACACACAGGACAGTTTCTTCACATTGTTCTATCAAGCACCATCCACATTAGGAAAGACATACTTTAATATCCATGCACACTCAATTTTAAATAAATTCAGAGAACAAAATACTTGCTGCCTAAAACTGCACGAAAATACTGTTGGTTTTCAAATGGAACCACCCACAACTGAAAACATATCCTGGAAATTCACCTACTTTTGAAATTGACGGTCAATTAAATTTTGTCCTCGGTAACACTTAAGAGCTACAGTACTAAAAGAAAATAATGAATCGAGTACTTTCCCCCCTGTAGTTCACTACAAGAAAACAAATTAGTAGTTTTCAGATGCAAGATGTCCTGTTTTCTTTAGGTATTTATATATATACGGAACCATTTTATGTATATATACATCTATGTAACATACCTTAAGAACAAAGAATTAGATTCCATCCCATACTATAGCATGCAATAAATAACCATGCTCCATACCTAATTCCAACTCTTCCTTAAACGCAATCCTTACAGCATCATTTACTATTAATACATCTGAGTTTGAATCCAGAGCCTGCCTCCATTAAAAAAAAAATAGCCTGGGTATAATGTATAAATTTACCTCTCATGTAAATTTGCTCAGCTGATATGCAGCAAAGCAATGTTTCACATCAGTGCATTGCATTGCAACAGGCTAATGGCTCTAGTTGCACCAGCATAAGTCCATTTTAGAGTTACGCAGTCCATTTACAATGGCTATTTCCTACCACCTCTCTAGCTATACTGTGGTAAAGGGGTGCTCATTTTCCCCTAGGTACATACATCTCTCAAGTCTGATGTGGAATCTGTAATGTTCTGCAGACAGCATTAAAACTAGACCAGGCTTAACAGAAACATTCATATTTCTGTCTCCTGTACAAGCTAGGCTCTCCTGCACCTCCCAAGCCATTGAGGGATGGAATTAGATGTGTTCCAGGCCTCTCTCCCCTCTCAAATCACAGAACAACATGCCCATCAATCAAAAAAGGCATAAAAGCAATGAATCCTCCAATAGTTGCCCTCTCTCCTATGCTGGTTCTTCAAGTAGGCTAGAAATGAAAAAACAACTCCTTCAAACAGGGAGGAGTAAGTCCTCCCCTTAAACAGTAAGGAGTAAAACAAAGATCTCACCACATTAAAGTTCCCTTCTCTAATCACCCTCAGGATAGGAAAGAGGAGGAAATTCACCTTTTCACTCTCCTGTCCTGAGTTTTGCCGCTATATTTTCCATAAGACACATTATTTTCCATAATCTTTTCCAAAGATTTGTCCCGCACAAGCTACAACTTCTATTTCCGGAACTCAGAAATAGCTAAAGTGGTCATGGCTAATTCATCCATTGCTTGGGAGCGCTGAAAGAACACCAGCTTCTCACAGGCAGACAGCCGGCAAGAGCACAGATTATCAGCCTACGTTTGTACACAGTGGAATTTGCCCAAACCTAAACGATTACCTTGAAAATACAAAAAAAATTATACAGTCAAATACTGCATTGTGGTACTACCTGAACCCAGTCAATACATTAAAGTGCTGTAAAACAGCAACTAATTTAAACTTCTTACAATGTTATGGCCTTTTTTTCCACAACATAATGAATGAATGATACACTACCAGTTTGTGAAAACTCTTATGAGTTTAAGGAAGTAATTTAAATAATGTTCATACAATTTAAATAATGTTCATACATTCATTGCAGGAACTCATAATGTTCCTGCAAAAACACTGGGAAAAAAAAAGAAGTCTCTTTAGATTTGATGTATCTTCTCAGCTTAATTAACACAAGCTTTTCCTGTTTTAATTTGCACTTAAGAAGCAGGAACTTTACTCAATTTGCTAATTACAGCATTTTCAAGCTGTTTTCTTGAAATAGATGCCAGCCTATCACACTAGGAACCCAAATTTCTGTAGTTACCTCGAATTACGTAATTGTCCAAAGCCTCTTCCATTCTTTTCAGTGCTTCAGCTCTATTAGAGCCATAGGTAATCAGCTAAAAAACAAAAGGCATTTAAGTTAATTAGAAATGAGATAATGTTTGTCTCTAGAATCTGAAAAGCATTTAAAATGATTTATAGAACTTCTGCAGTCACAAAGACATTTCTTCCATGTTACTATGCTTTAAAGTTTCTCTCTCTAAAACACCCAGAGAAAATAAGGATCTGTTAACCCATTCTATGAAAGACCACCAATTACTTTTCTGTTGTCTAGATGCTTTTAAGTTTTACAAGTTCTCTCTTCTTCAGGCACAAGAAAATTAGAAGTTCAAATATCTAGTTGACCCTCCTGACTTCTGGATGGTCAACTGACTTGCAAGCTTTAAGTGTGAATTTTTTAGCAATTAAAAAGTCCCCCACAATAATGTCACAGTTTAACCGTACCAATAAGTTACTGATAAATAAGAGCCACTATTGAGAGAAGCTACCATCCTTTTTTGTTGCTTCTTTTTGTAAAATAGAACTATAACCTCATTAATTTAAATTTGAAAAAGATAGACTGGCAGCACCTAAGTCTAAAAGTAATAGCTTTTGCTTAAATCAGAACCCTTTTAAAGATCAGATACTGGAAGAAGAAACTTTATAATGTCACAGCATAAACAACTTTTTGGTTACCAGTGACATAAAATTTCCTATATTCTGCATCTTCCTTCACTACTTTCATATTCCCTCAAGATATGTTTTATCAAGGAGCTTTAAACTACTGGTTTAACAATACTTTAGCATAGTCTCATTCATTTAAAAGATCAACATATAAAATTACATACGCTTAGGATATCAAAAAATAAATCAACTCACTTTTGAGATCATAGGGTCATAATAAATGCTAATATCACTTCCTTGTTGTATGCCACTGTCAACACGTACCTTCAAAAAATAACAAGCAAAAAATAATTTTATATTGAAAAAATGATATTTTTGACATGAGAGCTAAATATATCTGGTAGCCTTAAACAGAACTCATGAAGCTTATCAAATATATTCCCCCCCCACAAAGAATTACGGTAATTACTCATGTTTAGAGAAGCTGGGAGGGTAGGAGAGTATAATGTATGCCAGGGGAAGGGGAGCGGGGAGGGAGCAGTCCCACCACTAGGAAAAATATTTGTAAGTTATTCTCTCTTTTAAAAGAAACACGAACGCAATCTTCAGTTGGTAGTCAAAATTCTCTTTTGTTCTCCTAGAACGAAGAATAAACAGATAAAATTCGATCGGGTTACACGTTCTAAACTTCAACGCTCAATGCATCCAATTCTGATTTAATCACTATAATAAAATACAGTTGCAATTATTCTTCTGACTGACACCTGGCATGAAGGATGCCCCTTATAATCACATCCTTTCTGCATATATATGTAATCACATCCCACACGTTCCACGATAGCCCTTCTAAGAGCTCCAGTAGGGATACAACTAAGGAGCATTCAGCGGGAACTTTGGAGCTCTGCTTATCAGCTCTATAGGAATACCGATCCTGTTGTTTTCATGTCTGTAACACTTTCCTTCTCTGCCTCACCCTCTCAACTGCAAAACATTTTTTTCTGTTGCTGCTGTTCTCCTAAGGCTTTAATGTTTACACAGCTTTTTCCATCGCTTTGCTTTGTAAGGACACAGCCCCAATTAAAGCTCTGATTCTGCAATATTCATGGAAAAAAATAACACAAGTTCAAAAATTTCTTTTGAAGAGGCTGATTGCTGTTAACCAGCCAACAAGTTAGTTAGTATATTGCTGATTCTTGTTTTCATCTCTCAGTTTGATTTCATTACTGTAGCAATGAGGTTAGCCATATAAAACTTTTAAAATGAGCAATTTATTGGGAATAAATATTTATTAAATTGTTGCTTTTGAGCTTTGGAATCTGAAATATTTTTTAAAAATTATCAAAACAATTCAAGAGTGATAAATGCATTCTGAGGATCTTAAGGATGGAGGAATCTAAACAAAGCTGTTGAAACAGCAGGGCTCTGATATACTGCATTGTAAAGGGAAAGGAAAAAAGGGTCCTGGAATCTCACTAAAATCTTTACCTGTGGGAAGGAACCTTTGTAATAAACAGCAGCTCATCTGTCTGCAGCAAGGCAGAAAAAGGTCAATGCAACGGCTGTTAGGCCTTTAATATTTTAATTTAGGCAATTATCAAGGGACCACATGTAGAACCTCTTGTCTACAGAATCCACATGAGGGCATGATGATGACTTTATTATCCAAATGACATAAAAAGATACCCTAGCAAGTGTACTCACTTTCTTCAGTTAGAACCACTGTGCGATCAGTTTTTATGTCATTGTATTTTTCTTTTAAATATGTATATATACACACACATATATACATATACACCCAACTTAAATGCTGTTGCACTTTTGTAGTATCTTTATTGCATCGTAGCTGATGGTGCTTTATCAATGCTTAGCTTGGCCCCCATTACCCATGTCAGGTAGGTACCATTATCTACTGATGAGGAAGAAATTCAGGCATGTCATGATCACACAAAAAATATACCATATATTCCCCAGCTCCCTTTCTTGTAACTGCTAAACCATCGCCCCTCCTAGAATGTGCACTTATATACAAAGTTAATGCACACATTCTCACATTCAAACCAGAAATAACTAAGTTATCTACTCAGTTCCAAACCTAGTGTAAATCCATTGCCTATAATTTTGGGTTTTGAAGTACACAAATATAAGACATGCAAGTATGACATACCTACTCCACTAATACTTGGATTATACTGCAATTCTTGTCAACACAGTAATACCTTTCAAATGATTACATACAAGTGGTTCATGTGCTTATTCATGTGCATACACTTGGGTGTAGGTGTTTATACATGTATATTATACTTCAACAAAGAAAAAAAACATACGAAAGGGACATAATTCAGACACAGAGTAAGCAGGTTAGTCAGATCTTAAGTTAATGGAATTCTGCCAAGGCTACTCAGTACACACTCCTGCTCTGTGCTTCTGTTCATACACAGAGTAAATACATACATACCGCCATACAATTTACACTTTTTCTTAAGTGCAATATCCTGAAAAATCAGAGTGGGATTTTAAAGTTCTTCAAATACTACAGACTTTTCTAAAGACAATCTGGAGTCCTTTGTTTAAGAGATTAAATTTAAAATTCATAACAAAAAATGACAGCACAAATGAAATACATTTACATCTTCAGTTCTCCCTGCGGTGCTTAGATTTTAGGGCTCTGGTAACAGGAGGTGATTTTATAAACTAAGTGGTGTGACATAACTTAATGAATATCAGATGAAAAAGAAGCTCTAATTCAATTGAAACTTGCTATACTGCGCTTAACTTGATAGATAACAGCAATACTTATCAGACCTTCAGCGTTTACTTGTATTTCTTTTCTTTTAGTCAGTATTTAAACTACTAGAGAAATTCTATGGTGCAAGATCCTATTACAACCTACAGCTCATCGGTATTAGAGCCCGAATGTTTTTACTGCTGTGGAATTGTACGATCGTTATGTGTTACTAAACTACGAGAACAGGAAACTGAAAGATAAAAAAAAAAAAAACTTAAGAAAAAAAGCACAATCTACGTTTCAGTCCTGCGACGAACTATTACTGCATCAAATTCCACTCACCCACAGGTACAGGGTTCTGGTATTTCACAATTCTTTGCCAAGTCAGAGCCTAAGTGTTTTAATTTTTGTTAACAGTCATTAAAAGAACAGACTGTTGATCACGGTTGAGAAGAAGAGTGCTGAAGCTCTTCAGATATGGTGGCACATTTTCTACATTGTGTAAGAGCAGTCAATACGTATGCTCACAATCATGATGATACAGGTTTTTGAGTTTACCTATCTTAAGCTTCATTATCAAGGATGAAAAAAACTGAAATTCACTAGTCCATGTTCTAAGAAAAATACAAAACATATGAGACAAAAATAGACATTATTACCCATGCATAAGAAAAAAACCTCACATCCATGCACACCAGTTTCACCAACTTGAGCAACTGACTTATGCACACACAGACAGACTTGACAAACAAGACTGAAAAACAGAAGAAATGAATTTAAAATGCATTTTGAAATACAATACCCCTAAGTTGTACTTATTGTGACATATTAGAAGTCTGAGCTAATTTTTTAAAGCCAATCTACTAGTCCGAAATCTGAAACAGAAAAATGCTGAGGCCTGTGATATTCAACTTTTTCAGTAATACTAATTTTGCTCTTGGTGGCATGATATTCTCAGAAATTAACTAACAGTAGCAGAAAGTATGTATTAAGATACAAAACCATGAATGTCTAAACAAAAATAGCTGCTCTATTTTTAATAATACAATGGAAGTAAACAGGGAGGAAAAAACAGCCTAGACGCTCCATATGAGCTCCTCAAACCATTGCTCTGAAGCCTCTAGCGTAATTAAAATTTCTTTCTTCAGTACCACGATGGACCACGTGAAGCGATCAGGCATCTCCCACCCTTCATTTTCAATTCACCTCTCCCCCTAAGCACAACTCCCAGCCCACCCTGTCTACCTGACAAGTGACAGCCCAATCTGATTAAATGCTTGCAAGGGAGGGGACTCATGGGCCTCCATGACAGGCCAAAAGTGATCACCATGGAGATACATAATTACAGCTGTCAACGCGTCTACTGTCCTGCTGGCATCAATTTGATTGCTCCCAGCAATAATGATAGACAAAGCTTAGTGTGCACTCTCCTGCACCCAATCACTTTATCTATTCCGTGGTCCATTTAGCTGACATGCAACATTCACACAAGCAAATAACAGCAGTAAGCAGAACATTTAAGGCATTTTAATTGTTTTTTCTTTGTATGGATGGCTCACAAGCGCAAATGTTATTACATAAAACTCCTGCTGCAGCATTAATTGAAGAAAGATTTGGTGGGACAAAGACTGTAGGGGGTATAGTTTGTCCATTATCACTTATACTTTCAACAGGTCTCACGTTTGGAAAATTGCAAATTGCAAAAACTTGCAAGGGCAAAATGTTTGACATCCTGCTAGCTATTACAACATGGTGAAAACTTCTAACAACCACTGGAGTATTCATTATAAATTCTTATTAAATACACTCTTTGTTTCATTAAAAAAAAGTTTAGATACATCCAATGATACCTTTTCCCCCTCGTCTTCTCTTTAAAATCACATAATGCCTTTTAAATCTTTACTTTTTTTTTTCTCCTGCTTTCAGGCTTTGAACACAGCATGAAGCCTTAAAGACCACAAAGGGTCAGCTCCCTTTAGAAAGCACATGGGCAAAAACAATTTAAGAAGTGAAATAAATCATATATCCAATAACATCTCCACATTTAAGATTCCTCCTGTAATCTTTCACTATTTTCCATGCAAGCAATCAGACTGAATAATCGTATTCACAGATGGTACAGCCTTGTCATTCCACTAGCTGACACAGTGTCATATGTATGTGCACTTATGACTTAGACTACCTTGATTTTGCAGAAAGGCAGTGTCCTTGTTCTTTTCATGCAGCAAAAAAAAGATTTGCTAAATGCTTATTCTGTACAGCTAGACTGTATAGTGAAATGTGTAATAAACAACTGTAGCAAATGGCATTCGCTCTTTAAAGGCTACAAAGCTAAACAGAAAACAGTGGTAGTTTCTCAGTGGTGTCCCCAGTTCTCTCTGGTCAGACTTGATTCAACATTTGACCATCCTCTTTAACAGCCAGAGTATTTTTAGTTAAGCTGTATTTGAAAAAAATTAAGCTGCAAGTTACAGAGGGCAATAAAATATTTCAACATATACTGACTGGTTTCCTGTTACACCTAATTTAAGTACATTCTATACACAGCTTGGAACCGTACCTTTTTTAACACTTTTTAAGATAGCACAAGTAATTATTGCCAATGCCCTAAAAGAAAAGTTGGAAATAAGGCCCAGACTACAAAGCTGCTGAGTACTTACAATCTCTGTCTGTAAAAATGAGACTCAACACTCAGCACCTATGAAAACCAGAACCAAGTTACTTACACTTGGCAGATGCAATGGCTCCTGATACTGAGATAGTTTACCAATGGATGGCAGGCCAAAAGATTTGTAGGGGTCCTGAAATGAAATTCAAAATGAGAAAGCATTAAGCTTTTACAGACGTGGAGAAAATAATATTAAGCAGCTTCAAATCTAACAGATATCCCTGCTGGATTAACTTTTTCCTTCCCTAGTATCACTTGTTTTGAACCCTGTTTCTCCATCCACCTACCCCTGAGACTCCAAATAAACAACTGGAAGCATATAACTTCTCTTGCATTGCAGTCATTTAAATAGGAAGAAAAGAAGCACTCTACGCATAGTTATAATGCACCAAACTATACAAAGATCACATTGTCATTTGTCACATTGTGCCTTGGAGGCAGGATGGGAAAGTGTATTCAGAGAAGGTGTGGAGTTGAGAAGAGGGCATAAGGAAAAATTTTCCAAGATTAAAGGGGAAGTTAGGAATTCAACTATTATAAGAAATCAAAACTGAGCTTTATGGCTTTAGAAATCTCCTAGATAACACAATACCAATGTACACTTAATAATAGCAGCAATTATACAGCCTATAGGACAACCAACTCATGGCAAAGTAGTAGGACTCCATTATTTAGATTCTCTCACCCTTTTAAATAAAGGAAAAAAAGTCAAGTGTCTGTTCCTTCAGCAAAGCCTATTCATGCTTCAAGTAGTTTGTCATTTGCCATTCAAAGGGCAAATACTTATTCTTTATCAAAACAGTTCATATATCTGGTAACCAGCAGAGCAAGTCAGAGATTATGCGCATGTCATGAAGAGAAAGAGCAACAGAAACAAAGATGCCCTGGGTCACAAAAGCAGCAATAGTTAAGTGTGGAAAACACACCAAGACACCGAATGTTTTTAGAAATACAGTCACCTAAAGCACTAATGTTCTTAAAACAAAACGAAGGAAGCCAAGTATCATTATTTTCAAAGAACAAATCTTGATTTTCATACGTCAGAAATCACAGCAAAAAGATGCCACCTTGAAATGCATGTCCTAAACATTCTTGAAAGGGTGTATTTTATATATTTTAGTAAGCTGTTTTGAGTTGAGATGGACAGTCATACTGTAATTATAAAGTTATCTAATATATAAACTTTGAAAGTTTGTCCTGTACATGGATGTAATTCTGGAAGACACAACTTGCTTCCTCAGCAAGCATTAAAATGTTTCAGTACAATAACAAAAATTTGTAAGCCATTTAATTTTAACTATTTAGGCCAAAAAGTTTCAAAGAACGCATACAAGGGAAGAAACTGGAAGCACTGGTTAACTGTAGTAAATAGGTTGCCCTAACTCCAATAACGTATTAAATGTGAATAGAACATGTAGCAAATAAGCTTAGAAATGACCCTTAGCTATCCTCTTCCACTAGTTTTAAATTTTATTCCTGAAAAAGAAAAAAGGTAAATCAAAATACATACTGTATTTAAAATTAAGAAATAAAAATTCTATAAAAGGACTTTAACCATTTTTGCTACATACTCTAAATCGTGACTTCACCTTGGCATCTATCCACACCTGGGTACTTATTACTCCACAACACAACCGCTCACTCTCCTCTCCATTACCACTCATTTACCTCAGCATAAACTCGACATTCAACCGCCCAGCCGTTGATGGGAATATCAGCTTGTTTGTGCCTGAGAGGGTAACCCTTAGCAACACGGATCATTTCTTGGACTAGGTCCAGGCCGGTAATGCATTCTGTGACGGGATGTTCAACCTGCAAGGTCAAGAACCGTCAGTCAGTAGGTAAGAAAAACAACCAAAAAATCTTTCCCCGTAAACAAACACAAATAAACAAGAAATGAGAGCAGCCAAAAATCAGACAAAGAATACTTCCCTGTTTTGGTATTTTTCCCCAAAAAAGTCATACTTGACGTGCTCCAGCAACCTCCTTCCTTGTAGGGAAACCCCCAAAAATAAAATAATTAGCAAAGTACAATAACTTAAATGTAGAACACAAAAGCAAAACTGTACAGAACACGTGAGAGATTTGTTTGTTTCCCATTTATTTTACAACACTCAAGAACGCTTGATGAAGATGAGTTAACCTTTGTTTGTTCAGAAGCTTTTTTCTTTGATTTTGTTTAAAAACTTGCAATTTAGCCATAAACATATCTGAACTGAAAAACACAAAGTAGCTGATAATGAACCCATTCTGCTACACTTAACCTGGCACGTACAGGAGCGCCTTACAATTTTCCATAGAACTAGTCTACCCTAAATCTCACCCATTCGCCTGCTTTCACTAACCTGTCCTGACAAGCAACCAGATTAGCGTAATCTTACATCAGCGCAGTGTAGCAGAAATGAGCAGATGGATCCTTCAGGTTTTTTTCCCCTCCAGACTTATCCATGTAGTGCTTAGCATGCACAATAGCTGGGCTGGACCAGCAGAGTCACTCTGCTCTCTCAGCAAATTGCTGCTAACGGCTTTAGATGATGCTGTCATGGGACTACCCGTCGTTCACGCTAAACCATGCATGTGCGTACAAGCATGCACATGCGTACGCACATAAGCACAAACACACGCACGTTTTTCTTTTAAATGTCAATATAAATTGAAAACATTTATTAATGAAAATCCTTTAACCAGACCATTGCATAGGGGGAAAAAAAACAACAGGGTCTACCATATAGATGCAAAGACAGGTGCACTATTACCATGTTCTGCACACAAAGACAGCATTGAGACTTTCCATGTAAAAATTATGACAGAACTGCCATTTTTATTATAAAATGTTTGTGCTCCCAGGGCCAAATACCTTAAGAAAACATACTTAACTATGGCTTCTCCATCATGAGATGTCATATTACATACATTTTGTGACACAGGAAAAGGTCAGTGAACAAACCAGTTGTCTTCCTTACTTCAAGTATGCTACTGCAAGGAAAACATTTTAGTCATTATAATAATCTTGTGGCTTATCAGAACAAGAAGATGCTTTGGTCTTTAAGAAAATAGCTTTGTAAAAATAAACAGATGGCACTCATAATTAGCCCTGTGTGTGCTGAGTTTGTTTATAGTTTCAACAACATTTTAAGACGTTTTGACATAATTTTAATGACAAACCATCACCGAAACAAGCATCTATTCTTTGAAGGATAAAAGTGACATTGAAATGGGAATCTGATTATGCAGTTTAAGGATGTACCTTTGGGATTCAATCTTGATTCTACCTAATACATGATATTCTCCAGCACGTCAAGCTTAATAACAGTATTCAGAGAATCTACGAAATAAGTCAGTATCTACCCTGCAGTGTTAAACTGAAGTAATTCAATTTCTCTTAAAACTTAAGAGTTGTAACAGAAAGTTACTTATCACACATCAATTCCTTGAACAACAAACTTACTCTCTTAGCTTGGATTTTAAGTCTTAAAAGATTACCTTCAAGTTTAAAACATGTCTGGAATTTCAATGTTAAGAATAATTTATATACTTTTTTATATTTTTTTTTACAAAGACATTTGCATTATTTAGCTATATTGTCATTTTTCTTGGATTACAGTTGGCATTTCAGATTCAATAGCTTCATTGTTGTTTTCAGCTTTGGTGTTGATGATCAAAATAGGTTGGAATGTTTCTGGAAAGAAAAATATTTTTGTTGTTTGGTTCTTATGACTCACAAACATTTATTTAATCCATTCTTCAATACAGATCTTTGACTCGGTCAATATTTTCTCTGTTTCTCCAAAACACTCCCTTTGTGTCTGCACACAAAACAGTATTCAGAAAATATGACAAGCAAAGTTTTTTGAGGGTTTTCTGGGGTGGGGAGAGGTTCTTTTGCTGTCTTGAGGACTGTACTTCAACCACTGCTATTTAGACATAATGTAAACCCTACCACTCGTATTACTGATTTTTTATTACAAAATACATCCAAAATGTATTTTAGAATACATTAAGACCATCAGATCACTAAAATGGGGTAGAAAACAGACTTTCAACTGTGAAATGCTAGTTGACTTACTTGCTACTTTAATCTTTTAGTGAGGTCCGCAGCTCACAAACTGCACTTGTTCTAGCATTTGTAGCTTTCTTTTGGCAAGGGGAAGGCAGGAGGGATTCAATGTTTTTTATATTGTACAATATATGCTTCAGCATATAGTGCAGGACATTAACGAAGCAATAACGCCATATCCTGGTTCAACAAACTACGACAAGCACACTTCAATAACATTCTGGAGGTGCAAGAATACAGCTACAGAGAGATGTACGCAGGACCCAAAATTAAAGCTCTAATCTTTGACAAAGGAAGGAAAGTTGGGGGCAAGAGAAGTGAAGAAATTAGACCCTCTGCTCCCAAGAAAAAACAACAAAGGTATCATCATCACTCCCTACTTGTGAAAGCTCTAGTAGAACTGTGGCAGTTAGTTAACTAAAGTAACTGTTGTATCTGTTTTTAAAACACTTTCAGAAGTTAGGTTTTAAAAATTGTCTCCTTTTACTTCCACTTCAGGGGTCATTCTTGTTTTTCCTTCCTATTGTATTTTCTTCTGTTCATTTTGTTCTGTACCTCTTCTCTACCAACAGCCTTTATTTTTCTATTTTATGGCTATTAAATCAAGGATTAAATTTTTAAAGAGATGAATGGAAGTATGCTCACAAATGGAGTTGCATCACACTCAGACTGATCAGCTCTTTTACCTTTGGGCCATACTCAGATTTCATAGTCAGTTGATCCAAGATCTTGCCAGTAAGGCCTCAGTCAATAAGGCAAGAGCCAATGGTGGTACATTTATATGATAGTGGATGAATTCACACGTTATCTCTGTCCTTAATACAAAGGCAAAACCAGACGTGTTTGCAGCAAGTAATCTACAGATCTTATTTATACCAGGGCAGCTGCCCCTATTATCAGCAGGACAAGGAAAAATATTGATCAGTGATAATTCTCAATATATCTGGCTGCCCAAAGCACACTTTTACTACCAGTTCTGTTACTTATAGCAAGTCTGGCCATAAACAATTTATAACAGAAAGTTCCCATTTTAACGCATTTAAGTAAGGCATATATCTACTTAAAGTCTTACTCCCCACTTCCCGTGATCCACATATACCTAGTTCTCTAAAGAGAGACACTTAAATTGTTTCAAGTCCCCAAAGCCACAATTATTGTGGCCACCAACATCAATAAAGGGTAAAAGGGAAGTGTTTCCTCTTCATACTAGTAGTGCTCTTCTGTAGACATCTCATAGCAAGCAGCTACCCTCTCAGCCTTACAGGAGTCTTTGTTTCCCTAACCTCCTCCAGTTTCTATAGCAAACCACATTGGCAGCAGTAATGGCAAAGTTTGTGACAAAATAATATTAAGCCTGAGTTTATAGATGGTGAAGCAGGTACAAACAAGCTAAGGGAACCTGTCAACACCACAGTCCAGTTGACATCACTTTCCAGCAGTTCGGAGAGGCTGCTAATTCTCAGTCCTGTTCTGTGATGACCAACAGTCTTGGAGCCTTACCATGCTGGGGTTGATCCACAGCTACCAGAATTCACGCGATTTTTATAAACAGTTTGACCTAAGAGTTAAATTGCTAATGGATGCTTCCCTTATATGCAGAGGAATAATTTCAGGATATAATTTTTCTCGTGACTAACAAGATGCTCAGATCTAATAGCAAACACTTCTGGACATTCTCATAGATCACACTCTTGCCCCTGTGTTCATAAGGCATCAAATTTCTCACACATCAGCTGAAGCATTCAAGTAGAGCGCAGAGGCCAAGAAAATCTAAATTCCAGAAGGTTTAAAACTACAGTCTACGTCATCCCTACTACTCGAAGTCCCTGGCTGATATCATATACTCCTTTACATTCAAATAAATAACCTCAAAACTTCCAACATAC